AATTGGGATAAAGAAGTTTACACTGAGGAGATTGCGGACAATGTTTTGGACATAGAGAGGATAGAAGAAAAGACTAGAGGGTCGTCTAACGCGAGTGCTAGAGACAGAAGCGGATATGTCAACGTGGTATTGAACCCGATTGAGAATCTCTCCCAATGGAAAGCTGTGAAATCTAACGGAAGAAGAACACAGACACAGTCTCGAAAGGAGAACGCCAATCTCATCTCCTCCCAAGAACACAAACAAAATGCTTCTTTTAGCTTGGAGCCTCAGGTTGATGAGTTTTCATTATTCAACTTCAAGCCAAAATCAAGAGATGAAACCAAGAAACAGAGAACTCAAGAAGTGGCTGTTGATGCTAGTCTCTCAACTTGGTTGTCCACATCGCAGACCACGACAAGCGGATACAGCAGTGTCTCTATAAGTGTTGAAACCGCAATGTCCGATAAGAAGATACACACATCTAGCTACTCGAAACCGGTTCAAAGCCACGATGAAAGACCTATATTGTGTGCGTTAACTTCAGAGGAGATAAAACAGTTTTCAGCAAAGAATTCGCCAAGAAAATCGCCGAGTAGAAGCCCTGAATCACCTATAATCGGAACAGTCGGTGGATACTGGAACAGTCAATCCATGGCCACCAACAAATACAGAGAAGTTTGAAGCCAAGCTCCTAAAACTGAAATTCCACAAGAGAGGAAACAACACATGTTTGGTTACACTGATTGCGAGTAAAAAACATCATTTATTTATTCCTAATTTACTTTTGTGAAATTATTTTCATCACGATTTGTGTGAGTGTGTGTATGTGATTTGATTTAATTATTCATTCTATTTGTTTGTATCTTACACAAATTTGTCATTTTTATTTCAAAGTTCGAATCTTTCTTTCTTTAAAATAATCACTTGTTCATACAAATCCATAGAACTCTAAATACCCGAATCGGGAAAATAGGCCAAACAAAAATGGCTCAAAAGGGCGTCGAAAACGCAAATGCAAACGCGATACCAATCCTCATCAACAGTCGACGCCACACTGCTTCAGTAACGGTCCAGTCTGTTTGGCCAAAAACGGATCAATCCGAACCCAAACCAACGAGAAAATCGACGCGAGAAGAATCGACCAAAGCACAACGATCGTCGGTGTTCTGTTTTGCCGACCCATCAAACCTTTAAGAAACGGGTAAAGATGAACAATGACCCAAAACGCGAAGAACAGTTTCCCAAAAAGCGGTCCCCACGATCCGTAGCCGTTGTTAATGGCGTCTGAAACTCCGGCGACGACTCCGACCATGTTGAGGATGATGAGAGTGGTCGGAGGGATCAGAAGAGTTGTCCATTTGAAAAGGTAGAGATCTCCAAACTCGTCGGCTTCGTCGCTGGCTCCTTTTGATGTGACGGTGAAGTTTGTGTCGACTCCGAAGAGGACTTTGAGTAGACCTTGAAAGACGGCGAAGAGATGAGCGGAGACACCGCCGATTACCCAGAATTGCTCGTTACGCCAGAGGTCGTTGATGCTCACACCGCTCCACCGGAGCTCTAAGATCGCCGTCGCGATGATTGATAGAAACAGAGCCAAGAACCATATGCTCGCGAAATTGTTGATCTATTAAAAAGAAGAAATGTGTGTTAGAAAAAGTTTGATCATTTCTCTGAATTTGAAGTAAAAAAATCAAGAATCTTTAAGGCAAAAGTGTGAATCTTTCGAAACTCAAGGTAAGTGATTTGATCAGAAAAAATTGAAAAACAGAGGAGAAATGAAACCGTTTCAGAAGCAGGAACTTTTACAAGTTTTAGGGAAAAAGTAAGAATTTTTAGAAACTTTAAGCTAAAAGAGTAAGAAAATCAAGTACGTTTCTAAGGTAAAAAAAAAAAGTGAACTTTCAAGTAACTGCAGAGGTAAAAGCATAAATTTAATTAAGGAGTTTTAAGAGTAAAAAAGGATCATGACTAACCGTAGGAATGATGAATTTGCCGGTGAGAAGACAAACCGCCGGAATAGTACAATAAGCAAGTAGAGGAATAGAAGTGAAAGGATAAACTATAGTGTTGACATAAGCCATACGTTCTAGAATCTTGAGCTTGCCTCCCCAAGCATACCACAATGGACAATGCCGACTAAAGAAGATTTCGACCGAACCAAGCGCCCATCGGAGCACTTGGTGCAACCGATCCGATAGATTGATCGGTGCTGATCCTTTGAAAGCTGGTCTTTTAGGCATACAGTAAACTGATTTCCAACCTCTACAATGCATCTTGAATCCTGTAAGAATATCTTCTGTGACTGATCCATAAATCCATCC